AGAATGATTTAGAAGATCTTTTGTACCAACAGCCATCAGGCTTTATAACTCTTATGTAAATAATAGATAACTTTTATAGTCATATCATGTGAGACAACAGACAATTGAATTTCCCTTCGGGGATCAATAAAGTTCTTCTTATTCTTCTCATTCTTATTCTTACAAAACAGAAGACTCGCTCTCTGTGTGTGTGTGTGTGTGTGTGTGTGTGTGTGTGTGTGTGTGTGTGTGTGTGTGTGTGTTTGTGGAGTTGGTGGGCCACTTGGTCTGACCATCAGCTGTTTGTTTTTTTTAGCGAGGCTTGCTGTGGGAGCAGCCATGAGTGTGTCTATGCTGCAATAGTGCTCAGATTAGAAACGTTGGTGAAGGGGCGGGGCTGTTGTTGATGTCTGATGTTGAAAACACATTAAAGAACGAACAGCCAGTCTTTCTGCTGAACCTCTCTGACTCCACATCCTCTCCTCTGTCAGCTGAACAGGGCTTTAAATCTGTGGTCACAGGTCAGTCTGGGATGGCATTCATAACATCTGTGATTTCCTGTCACTCCAGCCTAAATACCAGCTGTGTAAATGTTCCCAAACATCTTTCCGCTTAAGATGGTTCACAGATTTCCTCTGAGTGTGAGCAGCTCAAAGATCCTCAGGAAGCCCACACAGCCCATAGTAAAAGCTCTAACAGGGGGGAGATCAGTTAGCTGAGCAGATAAGGAAATAATCGTTCACTCTGTTATACAAGCATGAAATTTGGTACATATACTCTTCAAACCCCACTCTTTAAAAAAAAAATGTTAGCCACGCAAAATTCCAAGATGGCGGCCCCAAAATCCAAGATGTCCGCCCCAAAATGTGGTTTTTCCTTTACAACTCAAAATGACTTGATTTTAAGCCCCATACATATATTGAAGTTGAATATAAAGTTGGGTATTGCGGACATTTTGGTACCTAGTACATCTCTGTATCCATTACGGTTCTTGAGATACAGTATATACATACTTGTACAGAATTGGCAGAGTGAGAATTAGGGTTATAACATGAAATTCGAAAACCAAGATGGTTGTTATGGTGTTAGGTATGTGTATAAGGTTTTAAAAAACCACTGCAAACGATATGGGAGTGGCCCCTAGTGGTTTGTTTGCCCAGAATCCAAAATTCAACACCTCAGTTTGAAACCCAAAATAAGTGATAGAAGAGATTTTTCAATGGATTCTGTATTGGGTATGGGAGGGCAACTACTCTCTGGCTACTTGCGGGGGAGGCCACGTGGAGGCTCCCCCCCCCCCCCTTTTTTTGGGGGGGGGGGGGGGGGGGGCTCTTTTTAAATAAATCTCTTCTATCACTTGTTTTGGGTTTCAACCATATACTAAACTATCTAACATTAAATACCATGCAAACCGACCACTAGGGGATGCACTCAACTCGTTTGCGGTGTTTTTTAAAAACCTTATACCCATACCTAACACTATACTAAAATTCAGAAGTTTACAAAATTCCCTAATTTTTCCAGATCCCATCTAAGCTAAGTACAGAATTTAGACGTTGATAAAAGCAGCTATTTTAGTACCATGTGCATCTCTTACAGTTTGTAAGATACAGCATACATACTGTGAGTTACACCTCACAGTTGCAACTGCACAGAGCTGTACACATGAGACCCAATTTGTAGCAACAACAGCCAGATTTACAGCCACATTTGGTGAGCTGTTCGCATGTCTTGGCTATTGGAGAGATGGCTGTCCAGAAGACCTGCCATTCCTCACCAACCTTTTGCCATCCCCAGTCTGCAGAGCCCTTTTTTCTGTCTGACACTGGGTTGCCTGGGCCCACACACAACCAGCCTGATAGGCAGCACGCCTGGTGTGTTGGAGTAGAGCTACTCTGGTTGGTGGGATAGACTCATAGGGCCTCTGCTTTCTGGCAAACAAGTCAAGCCTGGCCTCATCCACAGTAGCAGTTGTGCTGGATCTGTCATACATGAGAATGACAAACTTCTCAAGCACCTCTATGTCACAGTCCTCCACTGTGGGAGGGTAAATACCCAGTTTGGCGAATACAGGCAAGGATTCTGGACATATGTCCCATGTATGCCAAGCCATTTTCTTGCCTTTGTTGCGGAAGGCAGACACAGTGTCACATCCTGTAAAGGCATGGAAGAAGAGCATGCCTTTGACCTTCTCCTGGCCAACATGCTGAAATATGTCATGCAAACTGATCCAGCGCAGAGTCTAACCTTGCCCAAATGCAAGCCACATATGCTGTAGGCCAGCCTCTTGGAGACCGCTGAATACACTTATTGCTAAGATCAGAACATCTGTGTCATTTGCCTTGATCATGATGGATTGGCTACCAGTTTCATGTTTGGCGTGCACAAAGATGCGGCTGTCTGCTTCCTCGTGAGAGCATTTATCCAGTCCATCAAGACCGGTTGCATGAGTGCTGAGGACAGCATGTCCCTTTGTGACGAGATTTGTGCAACCTTGTCGGCAAGGGTGGAATAACTCTGTTTTGTTGTCATTGTGCCTCAAGAAGTTATGCCAGTTAGATAGCATGGTGTTCTTATTTATTACCTTGTGGCTTACCCCCTTGCCACGTTTGGACCTGGTCTCAGCTTCAAGGCTTGATGGGTTTTACACATCAAAGACCAGATGTGTCATTGTGTACTTGCTGGAGTACATGTAGATCACAGGTAGGAAGTCGAGAGCTGCATAGTCCTCAAAAGTCTTGGATCTTTTTGGTGGCAGGACGTGGTCCAAAGCTGACCCATCTACAATGAGAACGTCTGCCTCAGGTTCCTTGTCAACTGGTGGGACATAATTCTCAAGAATAGGGGTCAGCTGAGACTTCTGGCAAGTGTACAATTTTCCACCCCTGCTCAATGCAACAGGGATGGACTGGTTCTCACAAAGAACTCCTGGAGGTCATGCTGAGTTACACAGCAGTGATATCACCAGTGTACCCTGGTTGTGTGCTGATATTCACTCTATTACATCTGCAAGCTTGTACTGTATAAACATCTAAATTCTGTACTGCAATGGCCCCATTGGATGCATAGACCAAAAATATGTGCATGCCAAAAGTTAATGTTTCATAGTCACTAAGATCGGATTACTTCAAGGCAATGGCAGCCATCTTGGACACCATCTTGTTTTTCAAATATAATGTTATAACCCTCATGAAAATAATAGATAATGGAAATTATATTTTCATATAACCATATGCACAAAACAACAATCGGTGTTACAAATTTCTCACTCTGCCAATTCTGTACAAGTATGTATATGCTGTATCTCAAGAACCGTAATGGATACAGAGATGTACTAGGTACCAAAATGTCCGCAATGTCCCAACTTTATATTCATTTTCAATATATGTATGGGGCTTAAAATCAAAGCATTTTGAGTTATAAAGGAAAAAACACATTTTTGGGGCGGACATCTTGGATTTTGGGGCTGCCATCTTGGAATTTTGCGTGGCTAACGTTATTTTTGAAAAGAGTGGGGTTTGAAGAGTATATGTACCAAATTTCATGCTTGTATAACAAAGTGAACGATTCGGGCTATATTATGCATTTGTCTGCTCTACTAAGTGTAGATCTGACGATTAGACTGCGGACTGCCCAGAGGGGGGTCAGTCAGAAGGTCAGAAACACACTGACAACTCTGCTGATTAGTTCTATCAGTGTAGATCTATCTATGTCAGCTGACAGCTCAGCTGATTAGCTTCTGCTGTCTGACACTCTAACACACTGATGATCTAAACAGCCTCAGCCTGCCGACCCCCCTGCTTCCTCTAAAAACCACTTCAATCTGTTCTCCCTGCTTCCACTACAGCTCCTCCCTTTAAGCGGTCTGATTTTTCTGGGGTTATATGGAACATGACTGATGTTATTCGGTTCTGTGTCAAAGGGCCTTTGCTGCTGCTCTCCCAATCTTGGCTCTTTATGTTCTCACATGAAAAAGAAGGAGGTGTGCTCTTCCTTCCTCAGGCTGTGGCGTTCAATGTCAGCCCGTAAAAGGACAGGGAGCTCTCAGTGAAGATCCCACCTCTCTCTCCAAGAATGATGCTGATTGGTCAGATCATGAAACCTGCTTTGTAATGATTTGATTGACTCACAGATTAATCAGAAACACTATGTTTGATCATTTGTGTGTGTGTTTATTCATTTGTTTGTTTGTTTGTTGTTGTGTCGTCCTGCAGGCTCAGCAGCTGTGCTTCTGGCTCTGTTTTTGCATCCGCCAGGTGTTGGCTGGCGTTCCTGGTCCCTGCCGACACTCAGTGACACGGGATCATCTCCTGAGCCTGAACCGCCTGGTAAGGGTTTCCTCAGACATCAAACAGGCAAACAGAGTAGTAAGCCTACCGACTATTGTTATTTCCCATTGTATAATTTATAACTTACATTGCATCTTTGAATACAGGGGTTTATAAAGAGGTTTGACGTAAACAAACATAAAGATAAGAGTAAAGAACTGCAAACAATAAAAAGAAAATCAAACAAATTAAAAAAGCTGACAGCAGAAAAGATTTCCACAAGAAAATCCATCTAATATGATTAACCTGAACAATAGTTATAATAATAATAATAGTAACTAGGGCCCCTTTGGGGCACTGGCGGGCCCGAGCCATGTCGCGCCGCCCCCAGCGCGACTGCCTACCCCTCCCGATCGCGTCACACTCAAGGTCCAAAGATGGTGTGCGCACTTGTCTGTGGTCATTTACCATTATAATGAATGGGAGGCGTAGTTTCTACCAAAACGCTCGCTGCAGACAAACTCCATGTCCTTTTTGAAAAAAGTCTGGACCATGAGTGAGGGCACAAACACAGCTAGTATATATCCAAATAGCAAGTTGCTCCTCCTTTCGGTTTTGCCGAGAGAGCGATGCGTTTCAGCCATTGAGCGATGGGCCTGTGGGAAGTGGGCCATTTTCCAGTTCAAAGGGGAGGAAAAAGAAGAAAGAAAGAAAGAAAGAAAGAAAGAAACAAAGAAGAACCACTACAGGAATAATAGGGCTCTACGCCCGGCTGCTCTGCAGCTGGCTCGGGCCCTAATAAAAATAATTAGTATTATGATCATCATTATTATTAGGGCCCTAGCCAGCTGCAGAGCAGCCGGCATAGAGCCCTATTATTCCTGTAGTGGTTTTTCTTTGTTTCTTTAGGGCCCGAGCGTAGCTGCTAAGCAGCTGCGAGAGCCCTCTTGTTCCTGATGGATTCTTCTTTTGTTATTAGGGCCCGAGCCAGCTGCAGAGCAGCCGGGCGTAGAGCCCTATTATTCCTGTATAGGTTTTTCTTTCTTCTTTAGGGCCCGAGCCAGCTGCAGAGCAGCCGGGCGTAGAGCCCTATTATTCCTGTATAGGTTTTTCTTTCTTCTTTCTTTCTTTAGGGCCCGAGCGTAGCTGCTAAGCAGCTGCGAGAGCCCTCTTGTTCCTGATGGATTCTTCTTTCGTTATTTTTCCTCCGCTTTAAACTGGAAAATGGCCCACTTCCCACTGGCGAAAACTCAGGAAATTTGGCAGGATGACTGGGCCTGGTGAAAAATTTGATATTCTGAAGTCGTCCAAACAAAAAAATGAAAAATGGCTCCATAGCGCCCCCTATGGTGAAAACTCACCTGATGCCTGTACGCTTTGTCAAAATGACACAAAATTTGACACACATGTGTATCTCAATAAGATCTACGAAAAAGTCAGTGCGGGCGTATCTGTCAAATGTACGGTTAAAGGGCTATTTCGCTTTTTTTGCCGATCCGCACACATTGGAATTTCGCTAACTCCTCCAAAGGCTTTCGTTCCACTGGCACCAAATTTGCTCAGGCCAATCTACACCCCATGGCCATTAAAAGTTGTACAAATCATGACGCTGCACCCCACGGTTTAGGTTCTAGGCGGCGCCAAAGATAACCCAAAAATCCACATTCTTAAAAGTCTTATAACTTTTTATTTTTGTCCTCACTGGCCTCCAAGGTTTCTAGGATGATGCAATGTCCAGCCATCAACACATTTGTGAAGGAGTTTTTACTCCCCAAAAGAGCGCCCCCCATGGCAGGAGAAAAAGTCCATTTTTTCTTGTCTCCTAAGGTAAAAATACACATTGTTGAGTGTCACGCCTATACACTTTGTCATATTGACACACAATTTGACAATCACGTGTATCTCAATAAGATCTACAAAAAAGTCAATAGGCACGTATCTGTCAAATGTACGATTAAAGGGCTATTTCGCATTTTTTGCCGATTCGCACACATTGGAATGTGGCTATCTCCTCCTAAGGCTTTCGTCCCACCGATACCAAATTTGCTCAGGGCAATCTACACCCCATGCCCATTCAAAGTTGTACAAATCATGAGGCTGCACCCCACGGTTTACGTTCTAGGGGGCGCCAAAGATGACCCAAAAATCCACATTCTTAAAAGTCTTTTTGGTCACTGCAGGAGTACAGAGTACTGCAGGATACACACACACACACACACACACACACACACACACACACACACACACACACACACACACACACACACACACACACACACTCAGAGTCTGTTTTTTAGCACCTGCAAAAACATGCTGTTTACATATTTGACAAGAATGCAGAGGCTTCCTTTTGCCCCTGAAAAAAATCAAATTTCAAACACAACTTGACTGTTCATTTCTCCAAATGACAACCATGAAGCTCCATCCAAACCTGAAGCAGGCAGTTGGTGCATGTGTACAGTAACCTGAGGGGAGTGAGGTGACTGCTTCTGAGGAGAACATGAGCAGTGAAGATTCACCTTGGAGCGAGAACAGGGACGTGCACACGATTATACAGGGGCAGGGGCTCAAGTTTTTTCCAGTCGTTTATACAATATGGAAATTAATGTGAAATTAAAAAACAAAGTATTAATAGAAAGGTAATGACTGTCCTGTGTAGGTGACAGTAATATCCAATAGGCTAGGCACTCACGAGGCCGGCTGTGGCAAGTGTAAGTGAAAGCAACACGCACTGGCAGGAAGAACAGCAAACCCCGATGAAGGAAAAGGGTCTTTGCAGTGATGGGCGTTACCAGAGAGGACGATGGCCAGAGGACGCGAATGGGACGGGGAGGCAGCGCGTTGGGGGGGGGCGTGACACAGCTCGGGCCCGCCAGTGCCCCAACGGGGCCCTAGTTAGGGCCCGAGCCAGCTGCAGAGCAGCCGGGCGTAGGCCCTATTATTCCCCAAGTGGTTTTTCTTTGTTTCTTTCTTTCTTTCTTTCTTTCTTTCTTTCTTTCTTCTTTTTCCTCCCCTTTGAACTGGAAAATGGCCCACTTCCCACTGGCGAAAACTCAGGAAATTTGGCAGGACGACCGGGCCTGGTGAAAAATTCGATATTCTGAAGTCGCCCAAACAATAAAATGCAAAATGGCTCCATAGCGCCCCCTAAGGTGGAAATTCACACTATTGACTGTCACGCCTGTACGCTTTGTCATATTGACACAAAAATTGACACACATATGTATCTCAATAAGATCTACAAAAAAGTCAGTGCGGCCGTATCTGTCAAAATTACGGTTAAAGGGTTATTTCGCATTTTTTGCCGATCCGCACACATTGGAATTTCGCTAACTCCTCCGAAGGCTTTCGTTCCACCGGCACCACATTTGCTCAGGCCAATCTACACCCCGTGGCCATTAAAAGTTATCAAAATCATGACGCTGCACCCCAAGGTTTAGGTTCTAGGGGGCGCCAAAGATAACACTAAAATCCACATATTTAAAAGTCTTATAACTTTTTATTTTTGTCCTCACTGGCCTCCAAATTTTCTAGGATGATGCAATGTCCAGCCATCAACACATTTGTGAAGGAATTTTTACTCCCCAAAAGAGCGCCCCCCCATGGCAGGAGAAAAAAGTCCATTTTTTCTTGTCCCCTAAGGTGAAAATACACATTGATGAGTGTCACGCCTATACGCTTTGTCAAAATGACACAAAAATTGACACACACATGTAACTCAATAAGATCTACAAAAAAGTCCATGCGCGCGTATCTGTCAAATGTACAGTTAAAGGGTTATTCCGCATTTTTTGCCGATACGCACACATTGGAATTTCGCTAACTCCTCCGAAGGCTTTCGTTCCACCGGCACCACATTTGCTCAGGCCAATCTACACCCCATGGCCATTAAAAGTTATTCAAATCATGATGCTGCACCCCATGGTTTAGGTTCTAGGGGGCGCCAAAAATAACCCAAAAATCCACATTCTTAAATGTTTTATAACTTTTTATTTTTGTCCTCACTGGCCTCCAAGTTTTCTAGGATGATGCAATGTCCAGCCATCAACACATTTGTGAAGGAATTTTTACTCCCCAAAAGAGCGCCCCCCCATGGTAGGAGAAAAAAGTCAATTTTTTCTTGTCCCCTTACATAAAAATACACATTGTTGAGTGTCACGCCTGAACGCTTTGTCATATTGACACAAAAATTGACAATCATGTGTATCTCAATTAGATCTACGAAAAAGTCAAAGAGCGCGTATCTGTATAATGTACGGTTAAAGGGCTATTTTGCATTTTTTGTCGATTCGCACACATTGGAATGTGGCTATCTCCTCCTAAGGCTTTCGTCCCACCGAAACCAAATTTGCTCAGGGCAATCTACACCCCATGCCCATTCAAAGTTGTAAAAATCATGACGCTGCACCCCACGGTTTACGTTCTAGGGGGCGCCAAAGATGACCCAAATATCCACATTCTTAAAAGTCTTTTTGGCCACTGCAGGAGTACAGAGTACTGCAGTTCTAGGGGGCGCCAAAGATGACCCAAAAATCCACATTCTTAAAAGTCTTTTTGGCCACTGCAGGAGTACAGAGTACTGCAGGATACACACACATATACACACACGCCAACATACACACACACACACACACACACACACACACAGACACACACACACACTCAGAGTCTGTTTTTTAGCACCTGCAAAAACATGCTGTTTACATATTTGACAAGAATGCAGAGGCTTCCTTTTGCCCCTGAAAAAAATCAAATTTCAAACACAACTTGACTGTTCATTTCTCCAAAAGACAACCATGAAGCTCCATTTCAAACCTGAAGCAGATAGTTGGTGCATGTGTACAGTAACCTGAGGGGAGTGAGGTGACTATTTCTGAGGAGAACATGAGCAGTGAAGATTCACCTTGGAGCTAGAACAGGGACGTGCACATGATTATACAGGGGCAGGGGCTCAAGTTTTTTCCAGTCATTTATACAATATGGAAATTAATGTGAAATTAAACCACAAATATGTGTGATGAACTGTTTTTAAAACTTAAACTTCAAATAAAAATTGTAAACTTCAAAACATATGCAAATTTTTAACAAAGAACATAGTAATTTACCTCTATTTACATCAAAATGCAGGCAATGGCCCAGGCGTTCTTTGTAAAATTATTTACAAAACACTGTATAGTCTCACAAATGTCACTTTTTATTTATGCCACTACAAAAAAACATGATGTAAATGATGCATGATGTAAAACATGATGTAAAAAACTTGTGTAGATCCTCCTCTATGTCAGTCCATGTGTAATTTTTCCATAATTCTTTGTTTTTTGCAGCATTTTTGTTAGTGTAACTGCAGATTGTGCTGACAGTGTCTATGGCACAAAAAAAATAAATAAATAAAATGCCTCAACATGAACCCCTGGTGGTCTCTGAGGGTGAAACCTGCTAACTGCTGCAGCTCTGTCAGCTTCAGTCTCCCATGCAGAGCTCTGAGCGCATGTGTGGCTCTGCACCCTTAGCAGCGTTGCTAACTCCTCAGTAAGGAAAGCCTGCTTCATGTCAGAGTCTCTAAACTCCAGAAGAAGTCGATAAAAGTCCCTTTCTTTCTAAAAAAGTCGTTAGGGGGTCTGAAAAGTCATTGAATCTAACAACAAAGTCGCTAGGTTTGCAACTACGTGTCCCAGACTGCATCCCTGCTGAGAGTCCCTCCCTCGCTTCTCATGTTGCAGGAAGAACAGCAAACGCCGATGAAGGAAAAGGGTCTTTGCAGTGATGGGCGTTACCAAAGAGGGCGATGGCCAGAGGACACAAATGGGACGGGGAGGCAGTGCGTTGGGGGGACGCGACACAGCTCGGGCCCGCCAGTGCCCCATCGGGGTCCTAGTT